TGTTTTCCAGTGTTAGTTATTTTTTCTACTTGTTATTTGAATGATGTACTCATTATTTGTTTATTTATTATTATGTCAAAGATAGCTTATCTTTGAAACAATAAATTCTCTTTTCACATTTCTCAGACTTTTATATCTTCACTTATTTTTCTTCTTAAGGGGGATCTTAGTTTTGACGGAAATTCTTCAGGAAGTCGATCCCGAGTGATCCAAACTTTTGTACAATTGAATAATATTCAGGGGATTTGTTTGGGCATGATTTTACAAGGTTGCCCTCGTATATTCTCCCATATCTTCGTTAGCGAGTAATGTCTTTTGCTGGTAGTGTAAATACCGACACAATTTTGTCAAGCAGTTATTGAACGAAAAGGAAGGGGGGGGGGATGAATTCGTAAGCACCACCCTCTCTGCAAATTTTAGAATCTACGTGTCTACTTGTGATCGCACGGTTTATACCGTGAATAACTTGCACTTCCTAATTTATGAATGTATGGGATGATAAACCTACAAAGCCTCTTTCTCTCATAATATAGAGTATAGTTCCGCGTTTTAGGAAATGTAACCCAAGTGGAACCGAATTTGCTTCTTTATCCCGCAAAAAACATCCTCTACATAAAACAAAAGAAAGAGGAAAAATTATTTTTTGACGAAACATTTTTGCAGTCCTGCGTTGGGTCCCAATTACTTATTAAGTTTATCTTCTCTCCGAAATAAATGCCACGTCTAAAGATCATTCGTTCTGTCACCCTCGGGTTGAGTGTCATCTAGTATTTTCATCGTCGAATTCAATATATTATTCAATATTTTGGCCCTCCCACAACAAAAGTTGTGACCTCAATTATCCAACTAAATTTTTGCTCAAATTTACCAAAATCTGAGCCAACGATTTTGCCATTTCCGCCGTATTTGACCACTATTTCACCCAAGAACAATACGTTTACCGTTATATTACACTTTCTACGTTATCATGTATTCATCTGTCATCAGGTTCGGAAACCGAGTCAGCAAGTTATCATGGATTATCCGCAAAATTTTCGGCATCCGATACTTCCGACCATCATTAACGGTCAGCATAGTCAAGAACAAGGCGTGAATCATTGACTACCGATAATCGATATTATCCCGTTCGAAGCTATGGTGCAGAATCAATCCTTAAGGTGTCGGTTTTAAACACCCTGAACATCGATCCTTTTGAATGCATGACAGATCTATCGATTCATCGCAAAGTACGACACGCCATTGGACATAATCGAAAGCCTTGGATTCTGAATCTGCAAAGCCACTGTAATCTTGATGGCTCTCATTGAAATCTTCGCGGCAGCTAAGTGTCAACATTTTCCGGATTTTGCGAACTTCGATTCTCTTTCAATGTGAACTGCGATTCGTGTCTTCCCTCTTTTAGGACTCCCCCATTTAAAGACATTACTCGCTAACGCAACCTCCCCCTCGTGACGACTCCTCACACACTTCTTGTCGATCGAATCATCGGGTTTTGACGCAATCCAGTATCCAGTGAAAGAGAACGGTAACTCCGGAAAATGTTGCTCCTTTGCGCCAAATGATTTCTTACTGGCGCTCTTTGAAGCGCGGTTCGGGCAAATAAAGGAAGACGTTACTCATCGCATCGGGTTGATCATTGAAATTGATAGACACAGCTGTAGATAAAGAGGATGACTGGAAAATGGAGGGACCCGATTAGTTGAAACGGGTGGTTGTCATAGACCAATGAGGAGATGCATAGACTAGCTATGGGGTCTCTCGCATTTTGCCGTAAGTTCGTCTATTACTTGCCTCTTATGTCCATTTGCAGTCACCCGCTTCCATCAACAGGTTTCCTCCATGTTAGTCTATACTTACCTCCGATATCCGTAGCAGCCATTCGTGGCAAATTTCCACGATATCAACGTTTTTTCTGCTGTGTCCATATTACTTGGTATACCATTATCTTTAGCGTATTCTCGGATGGCCATCGAGTTACGACGGTCATAACCTCATATTGATGTTTCATGATGTTTTTGAAGAAAAAGTCTCATGAGCGTCATGGACTTTTTTCTGAACCACCGACTCCTCCCATTTTAAGCCTCTGTATTTTTATGACGTCACCTCCTGTTCTCCCAACAAATCCTATGCATGCATAGATTAATAGTCCTTTCCTTCTCTTGAAGTTTAACTCACAGTAAGCACTTGTTTTTCGGTTTTATTTTTCGGTGGTGTTCTGTATAGTTTTAAATTTAATGGTTTCTAAGTTTAATTAAGATGGTTCTGGGTTTCGTCCGAAGTGATTTCACCGTGTTGAACCGGGTGCCTCCCATTGGCGGAGCCAGCAAATTGGCAACATTGCTTTTCTCCATTTAAACCTATGGAAATGTATCGATTCTTAGGGGGGCCAGGTTCTCCAACAAGAATCGATTATTTAGCATTGGTTTAAATGGAGGAAATTCGATGTTGCCAAACTGCTGGATCCGCCTCTGGCTGCCTCCTAATGAAGGTTGCTTTTCAAATGGTTCATTTTCTTACGAGTTGCTTGCCTAGTTGACTTAGAAACAAATTATTGCTTTCCAAGGGCTCCTTTCTTGTTTCAAGCACCAATAGTTTCTAGGAAGTTAGCCTTTCTAAGGTGAAGGATTTCTATTTTTAAGACATATCTAAGGATTTTTTGGCGTCGCATTTTCTACCACAGCTCAACACTGAGTTTTTAAAACACTCACATTCAGTTAAAAATTCACCCATTTGATGAGTTACTTAAATTAAGGCAAGTTTCAATGGCCTTAATAATGTGCCTTTCACTCTAGTAATGAAGGCCGAAAATGTCCCAATTTTGTAAAAAGAAGGAGTTGAAGAAGAACAAAAAGAGAAAACAAATTCATTGTAAGCTCATGAAATCGGAGCATGTTACAAGAGAAAATGAAAACAGTAGTGCGAATACTTTCGCTTAAAGTATCAAAAACGTAGAGCGATCGGTGACTAATCATCATGTCTATTAAACGAGGCACAAATCTTTGCAAAGGGTCATGCCAGTGCTAATGCACGTATTGTTGTAATTGCAGGGCGGAAAAAGTCCCACTTCTCTGTCATTTTTATCAATGGGAACCTTGAAAGTCACTGATTCTTTCTTATATATTATCTTATTATTATTATATTATATTTTCCGGAGGATGTGCGCATGTATGGCATATTGTCAAGAGCAACCTGACTCCAGGCCCATTCCAACGCTCTTTTTGACTTATTTCATAAAATGTCTCAGTTTGTGAATTTTTTGTAAAATATGAAACGTTCGTTTCAGGGGTCAGGCTTCCCAACCGCATCAAAAAGTTTCTACTGATGCCACCATTCATTTTATGAAATTCGGAAATAACCGGAAATATTGCGCGTGAAATTTCATAATATTTTGTCACTCGACACTTGCGCGAACTTGAGGCGGAAAATCTAGTTTCAAGTTTGGAAAAGTTAAGATTTTTCATCCTTAGTTGTATTTTTTCTTGATTACTCTAGATTTTTAACGATGCAAGGAAGGGTAAAATAACTAAAGTTGCATATAACTTGTCAAAAAGCGTTCAGACGCTTCCCGTTCTGGACGGCGCACAGTGGGTCCAGTCAATTAGAGAGGTCGGACATGAAATTGTTGACAAAAACTGCAAATTTTGATGTTTACTTCGTCACATTTTAAATTTTAAGGGGTGTTTCTAGAAGAAAATTTCACGAGGAAACCAATGAAACCACTTTTAGAATCTCAAAGTTTTGTATAAACAGAGTTATAAGCTTTTAAAGTTTCCAAATTTTGTCTGACCTCTCCTATTAACTCGATCCACCGTGCGGCGGCGGCGCACAGATTATTTTAGGGAATTTTTCCGATTTTTCTACTCATCCCTCCCTTGCCAGGTATCTCTTAAGCCTCTATAATACCTAACTACAGCCAGCTCAACTTACTTTCCTTCCTTCATCTCCCATTTCTGAAGACCATGAGTATGAAAGGAAAACAAAATTTTGTTATTCTCCTTTCCCTTTCCGCTATTTTTCTCCTCCAGCAGGCTGATTATTGAAGTTCACAGACCATGCTATAGACAAACAAAACCTAGGGAGTATAGAGTGATCCTATCGGTTGAAACGAGTGGTTCCTATAGACTTGGGGAGAAAATGATAGACCAAGTATGGGGTCTCCGGTGGGTTGCCGTTAGTTAATCTATTACCTACCCTCTTTGTCTATTGCTACCCCCCGTTTCCACCAATAGGATCCCTCCGCATCCCGTTTGTCTTCTTTATCCATAGTTTTGTCTATCAATTCCAACAATTTGCTCGCAGCTATAGAACCGCAGGTGTTTTCACCTGTGCGTAAGGTACCCTCTGATTGCATCATTCTCCCTGTCAGGCATCATTTACCTCCCTCTCACGCCCCATTGGTGCCTGACGTAATTCATGAGATCCGCAGAAGAAGGAATTTTCAAAAACTAGGAAAATCAGGGTGTAAAAATTCCTGAACTCCAATCGTTAAAGGAAATGAAAGAACGTTTGACGTAGTTCGCTAATTCTGATCCATATACACATAACAGAACGCTCTTCGGCGCTCTGCGACTGTTAACTGCCACAGTGCCCTGTCCTACCACAGTCCCTCCGGAAGGTGACACTCCGCGTTCCCCCCAGTTCTGTCGTGCGAAGTAAGAACGCCGTAAATCCATCAAGATTTTCCCTCGTTTTTATTGTAACGTAACACTTTATAACATTAAAACTGTTTTACCCATGCACCTCAAACTTTCAAGTGAAGTTCTTGATAGTATTTGCGAAAGAATTCTGTGAAAACGTTGTCCCAAGGCACACAAGTTTTTCTGCTATGATACATTGTTTTCAAAAAATGTAAAATGGCATTAACGGCGTTTTTGCGTTGCACGGCAGAGTTGCCGTCCTTTCACCTGATTTTGATTGATAGCGTCTAATTTGAGGCTAAATTTTCGTGTGATTTCAATGTTTGTGCAGATTTGTAAAGGGACGTTTGGTGTTTTTTTCAGGGTTTTCAATGAAACAGTACATGCCTTGGGTTCAAGGGTGGGACCCCAACCCGAAGTACGTTCGACAAACAAGTCAGAACCAATACAGTTGCCAGCACTGCGGCAAGAGGTACCGGTGGAAAAGCACCCTGAAACGACACGAGGTGTTCGAATGCGGCGGGAAGGAGCCGGCCCATCAATGTCCACACTGTGATTATCGCGCCAAGCAGAGCGGCAATCTCCGCGTTCATATCCGCAAGTATCACTCTAGCTCAAGCATTGTTCCTTTTGTCCCTGTTCATCCCTCGAACAATACAACTCTAGATCTGCATGTAGAAAAGAAAACGGCTGACAACATGATTAACAATAATAATTGATCAACTATTCATTAACGCCAACCACAAACTTTAATTTTTCTATAATTCTGGTCAGTTTTTCTGATGAGTCTCATGTGCAATTTTTATTCCCTAGTACAAAATTTGGAATCCTCCCTAAACCCTACCCTTCAAACACGTCAGTGAAATCTGTATAATTTGCGCTTACCTAGGTATTACGTTCATTCATTATTCAGCTGATCAGGTCCTCTGAATAATAGTGATCTACCTAAAATGTTTTGGTTCGGTTCCTCAGAAAGAAACTCAACAATATTCTCTTCATTTCTTTTTTTACCAATTGGAATTTTTAAAGTGCTCATTTGTTTACCTGCCGTTAATTGAAGCTTGCATACCACCAGGCTTTGTATATTACTCTGAATTTCTCAATTAATTCTCTGTCAATTAATTGTCAGTTTTTCTGATGATTCCATGTCTGACGGTACAGGTTTTTTTAACCTGTGATCTAAGTTTTTCTTGCTTTTATCAATGATACGCATCTTTGACTATAGAAACAATGATGAAGTATCAACTTAATAATGGATTTGTTCGAGTGAAAGAAACATAGACATAGACACAGACACGTATTTAGGGTGAACCGTGCCCGAATTCCTGATGAAGGCCTACTCTTTCTGCATGCTTCAACAATGTTACCGAAACAAATGACAGCGCTTGAAAGTTAACTTTCCCTCTCTGCCGTCTCGATGAGTCAGTCCTAACTTTCAACTTGTGTTTACCGTTTTCAGTCTGTTATTTCTGTAGTATTTATTTCTCTTCCCTGTTTTGTCTTTAAGTTTTCCTTTACTCTATTAAGTTATAACGTTATCCAAGCTTGCATTTAAGTGATGAAGGCGTTTTCATTGACCTCGTATCACATCATTTGCGCAGCGAAAACTAATTGTAATGAAGCTAGCTATGCCTATCATGGAGTGAAGCATCATTTTACCCTCTCTTCATTAGCGCGGTAGTCATGGGAATTTCTAATTTAAGTTGCTCTTATTTTTATTGTGCTCATTACATCTTGGTTCCTGCGCAGAAAAGCAGCAATACATTGAATGTCAAGTTTCAGTTATGTTTTAAGTATGAACCATTAAATATTGCATCGTGTCAGAAATTGATTTTAATTGTTATTCTATCATCAAATTGATGATTTGTTAAAATATTCATTGTGAGTGTCTTTTTGATGGGAGTATTTTCGCAAATCTCTCTTGTTCCCACCCTCACCTCTCTGTGTTGTATTACTTATTGAAACGCCAAGTTTTCTTCTATTTTAAATCTTATTTTTTCATCTACTTGTATGATAAGCAACCGAATTCTTCTCATTATTCTCATATTGCTATTAATATTTAGTTGTAAGACTTTTATAATGGTCCTCAATAAGTTTGATGTGAACTATTCACTCTCGAACATTAGGACAAGAAAGTTAAGTGCTGAGTACTTACAAGGTTTTATCTAGGTACCCGAGCTTAATTGCTCTGAACTCATGTGATTCAATACTGATTGAGCCGCTCTTACCATTTATCTCATCCTCTTTATGAAGTTTCTCAAACTTGAAAAAACATCCTAAGTATTTCACCTTTAATTAATATTGCTGCTTACTCTTAACATAATACTATCCTCAGGATTTTTAGAAATTAATGATGCTTTTTATTTTTAGTTTCATGGCCAGTGTCCTCTCTTTTCAAGAAGGAAAACTAATTTTTTTCACTTCAATATTTTTTTTTACTACGAAAACATCCAAACCCTTTATCTTGCTCAGAAATCAACTACCTCACACCAACCATCATCATTTCATGCTGGCTTTTAAAACACATGCTAGCCTCTCCCATAGATTCAATACAGATGATCTCCAGTTTTCACTGTATCCCATTGTTTAAGAACCTACTGGTTTAATTTCCTCTTATTATCTCCCTCATAGCTTTTCTCATCTCAACCTTGTTACCATTTTGAGAAAACCAGTGAGATTTCCCCAATCCCGAATTCATTCATGTTACCGTCTCTAGTAGAATTATCATTTACCATTGGTCATGTCAACATGAGACCCCTACTTTTCCCAGCTCCCCTTCTCCTATGACTTACGCCCTTTTTGATCTAATACTTTTGGTCTACTTCAACAGAGGCATGTGGTGTCTGTAATAAATTTCTTACTTCTGATTGTATTCAGTATTTTCAAAGGTTATATGACAATTTAGAATGACTAAAAGGAGATCAACTTGTAGCTCTAAATCTCCAATAACTGAGGTGACATACATTACACATGTGAAAAACAAGAACAAGATTTATTTTAAAATTTTGATGTATTTCCGAGAGAGTATTGTGTTTGAGGGTTCAATTTGATGTTTATCCTCATCTTTAATAGACGCAAGCCAATCCCTCGCTTAAGTTACTGACTTTCTCAGGATATAGCACTTATTTTTACCATTAATATTTTTCTCTCATTGAAAGGCCACCCTCAAATTGGAGGGATGTGATGTGAGGTAGTGGTCATAAAAAACTTTCTGGCTGAATCTGAGGAGTAATATCTCTTACTTAAGCTCTCTTCAGTCTAAAGTTTACAGTAATTATTTTTCTTTGTGACTTTCTACTGACAATGACATACCAAGACGAATTCAATATGCCTTACTTGCCCTTTTTTCTCACTGTTCTTTTTTTTTCTTCTTTTTTTGCCTGAACTCTCTCAAAGGCTCTTCTCTTAGTCTAAACTAGAGCCCTCTAACTGGCTTTAATTTTTTAATTTCTTAGCCAATTTTGCACAAAATTCCTTGAAAATCTCAAGATCTGATCTCTGATGTGTCCGGAATACATTGGTAACCTTCCAAGATCGTCAGGCCAACGATCATAAATTCAACAGTCAACAAGGTCAATAATTACACCAATTTGCCTCGTTAAAGCCTCTAGTTTGTATGTGGAGAAAAGCTGTCACTGTCAGTGTTTTTTTGTCCACTGTAAAATCACTAATGCCTTTCAGAAGAGGAATACCTCTACTTAAAAGTTTTTTGTACCTGATTTTTCTCTGGCTATTCTTTTCTTCTCCACCATTTTCCATTCAGTATGATTACATTTACATCCCTGTACCATCAACTTTTTTATGTCACATGATCTCACAACATAGCATACACTTTGGCTCAATAGAGAGGATACCTTTAAAAAATTAATTTCTTTCCCTTCTAAGTCATCATCCATTAAACCATGCAACATCTACTAACTTCTCTGCCTTCTTTATTTCTCTTAATGTTTATTCTTATAAAGTAATTGAAGTTCATTCAACCCAGTCCAACGCCAACCCAAAGGCTCAATACCTTCCTTTGAAAGATAAATTAGAGCATCAAAAATAAAAATCATCAGTTTTAAACCTGTTTGTCAAATTATTTTTCACAACAAAAAAATAAGAGGCAGGAAAATTTTAATTTTGATATAATTCCCTTTTAGAACGATAAATTAAAAAGGAGAACCGGACCAACCAAAACCTAATTTAACTTTTTCATGGCAGTTCTCGTATCTGTATACTCTCTTAAATCCGCGTTCTAAAAATATTTGATCGTAAAATTGGTTTTTTTTCCAGAGTTTTTTTACTCGCAAAATGTCAAGCCTCCTTTGAATTTTTGCTCCTATTCTTTGCTCCTATTTTTTTGCTCCAATTTTTTAAACGAAGTAAGTTATGTCTCCTTGTCCCTAAGGCACGGAATCAGTTCTAATTTAGATGACATGACAGTATACTGACATATTCTAGAGCGGAAGAGTTTTAAAAAGCTGATTTTGACGATCAAATTACGGTTTGTCAAAATCGTGCCTCCCATTTTGAATAAGTCTTATTCTAATTCTTTTGAATAGAGCGATGTTGAATTAACTAAGAATGTAAGATATCTACTTTGCTTTTGACAGTACGATTAGTTGATTGGTGCTCCTTTCTACTGTTTATCACTGTTTTCCCCCTAGGAGTAGGCACTGTTTTGTACATAGTCATGAGGAAACTTGGCGTGTTGCTCATTTTTGTTTCATGTTACTATACTTTTGTAATTTACGCGTTAGTTTTATTTATCTATTTTGTAAATTTTGAACATGTTTGTTTTGTAATGACATTACTGTTTTTAAAATTGTTCCTGTTAAAAATATAACTGTCGTTAAGGACTTGAATCTTTGTTTACCACAAAATCAGTTCGTCACAACATAAGAATCACTCCGTTAGCGTAATAAATAAGGAATAGGAACCATCCTCAGGAACAATTCCTCTACTAGACCTCAAAGTAATTAATAGCTGAAAAATGATTTTTACAATTTTTCCAGTTATTCCAGTTGATCTTTTCTTTCGTTTGTTCCACTTTTACTAACCATTTAAAAAATTCAATTTAAAGTTGTCTCCTTCAATATGAAATTCATTACTCTCAATTTCAACATAACCATTTAACTGTTGCTGCCGAGGAATGTTTTATCGTTGACACTTTTCTTGAATAACTTCTTTTCTACAACTTTCTCTTTTCTAAGTAAACCTCCCTTTTAAATTTAATCTTATTAGTTCCTTTTGTGTGATGTAAAATGTTACTGAGCAAGATTCTAGATTCGCTCTCTTACTTACTTAATGACAGATCTTTTTTGATAAGTCTTACCTCCAGCACTCATTTAGCAGTTAGTTTTAAGTATTTTTAAGCATTTTGTACATGATTTTTTAAGATCCTTTTTTGTATGGTTCCAATCGATATCTTCGTTTCTTACTTTTCTCATTTTTTTTATTTTATTTTGTTTACTTGTATTATAGCCTATGGTGAAGTCTACAAAGTCTCCAAGACTCATAATTCTGTGGAAATAGCATTAATTATGGTCTTATGAGTTAGTAATAATATACAAATCCTGAGGCAGCTATTTCTGCAGCTCTTGCTTTTCAAACACCTGAATGTGAGCACACTTCAGCCTCAAACCTTGATAACTCAACATCACTAATTATGTTTAAAACAAGAGGCAAACAGTTTTCATCCAACAAGAAGCTTTATTTTTCATGAGAAAACATGTATGGCTAGGTCAATCTTTTTCCTGTTTCCCTGTATTTTGCTCTATGATCAGTAGTTTTTCAAAACCAGTTGTCAATAGCAGACTTTTGAACCCTGAGATTTGCAAAACTGAGTAAACACATGTTTCCAGTCAGACTTAATTTGTCAGTGACTTTATTCTCTTGATCATACTGGCTACTTCAATGATACATAAAAAACTATTTGAATTAATTAAGAATGCATTTGTGTGTAACGTATGCAGTATTTATCGCATACAGTCAACCGTGATTATCTGTCAGTCACTCATTTTAGAATCACTCCTGCTTATTTGTGTAGCTCATGCAGGGAAAACGCCCTTTAGTGACGTACTGAGCCAATTGAAGGAGGAAATACTTATTTCAGCCCCCTCCATGGTGAATACATACCACTCCTAAAATTTGAAAAGTCTGCAGGTAATAAAGGTTGAATGTGATGTCTTTAAATTTGTGATGTATAAGTTCTTGTGATAATATTTTGTAAGCTGTGCAGTTGTTGCCTTTAAATTTTTAGCTGTATCAAACTAAAATTTTCTATAAATTTTTTTGGCATATAGTTTTGGATATTAATGATTTTTTCTACCCTTTGTGATACTCGGTTTTTAAAAAAAAACGAATTATAAAACTTAATTTTTGAGAAAACTTTAAAATTGAAGGAAAGTATCCCCTTGTTACTTTTTGATACGTTTTTTTTATCAGTATTTGTATTTATTTTTTAGATACTTTTGATAGTGTGCCTTAGTTGTGCCCTCAATTCTTAAATTTTCTTCTTTGAAAAAGTTTAAGCTGTACTTAGCTACCGACTTTCAAATGAGCAACGGTCCATCTAGATTACTAGGTAGTTGTTATTTTTGCTAAGCCAAGAAAATTAATTGCACAATATGGTTTTGGTAATTTCTTTTCCCTTTTTTACAATTATTCTTTAATGACTTCTATATTTTTTTTTTTTTTTTGTAGGATATTAGAATAGATCACTTAGTAATGGCTCTGTTTTGCTAAATACGCTTACTTAAATATGTGATGGCTGCCTACTTATCTTAGGATTATCCTATGGAAGCTAGATCTATAGTTGATATGAAACAATCAGGAAGAAAAAACAAGTGTCAGGATCGTCAGCAGCTTGAAATATCGTAGGGGCAGGGAAAATGCCTCTTAATTAAAATTCAGAGTTGAAATCGGAATGGTAATGCTTCAATCTCCTATTTCCGAGAAAGGCTGAGAAAGGTATAATTATTTAATTGCATTCTGCACGTTTTGTCCACTCGGCAGCATACTGAATGAACAGCATTTATGCATCACCTAAATCATTGTCCCCCGCACAAAGGGACATATCTCGATTGCACCGTTACTGCATTTTTTACCGGCGTTTTATTTTTCCATAAGAGAACTTTTGCATAAATTTGCCTGAAATTTCCAGAGATTTTTCTTCACACTTTTAGAAATAAAAACTGAAATTTATCAGCAAATTTTTGCAATGGCTCTCCGATAAAAAAATAAAATTTTAGTGGAAATACTGAAACAGCGCAGAAGAAATGTGCGCCTTCATGTAGGAAATGATGAAATATTTGTTCGTAAAGTGATTCAAGTTACTCGGACACCTGGAAAGTTAAATTCTGTTTTCATACACTGCCCCTATTTTTCATTGAAAATTATCAATCAATGCAGGAATTTTGCTCCTCACCTTAAAATTTCAAAACTATTAAAAAAAATTCAGTTGAACCGCTCTTCTTAAACATGTTATTAAAGTCTCTGAAAAACTAAACCTCTTTTTTGTAATTCAGTGACCGAATCTACTCGTCATTCTTTTGTCAGGTCAATCTTATACTCATTGAAAAAATGTTTCCTGTTCCTCAGATTCCTCATTCAGGAATCTCGCCTTACTTGTCCTTACCTTTATAAAATACGATTTTCTATTGATACAGATTTCAGTGCCTGCAGAATAACTTTTATTTTTGTTCATTGTACAGTTCTGTTAGTATTTAGATGGAATCCTTTATTTTCGACGAATTTTTGAAATTTCATTTACAGGCAACTGAGTTTCTATCTTGTTTCTCACCCTGTTCGCTACATTATTATAGGTCAACTGTGATTTTTTTCTGTATACTTCCTTTTTCACTTTTTCCTCTTGATATTATGTTTGTAGAATGGGTTACTTGAATAAAAAAATTCACATTTTAAGAATAAAAGTTTACTTAATGTCACTTGGGACACTATACTACTGTTAATTCTTCTGAGTCAAACAAGCCTATGTAACTTTACTACCACAAAATATCTTCCTTATTATTCTGAAAGTGAAAAAAAATTCCAGACCTACATCAGCAATGATTGCAAATATACTATCAATTATATTGAATGAGGCTTTGATTATTTTTCTTCACGCTATTTTGAAGATAGCGTCATTATTATTTTGCAAAAACAGAAATTTCATTGTTATTAAGATTAAAACATAATTCTCATAGTATTTCTAAGAGGATGGAAAATTGTGAGACATTTTGAAAATTTAACCATAAAATTACAAAATTTCCAAGCCTAAAGAATTCTTTGTGATGTAGAAAACAGTCTGGAGGGTGTTTATCAATGGCGTTAATTTCTTTGTTGTAACTTGAATGTAACCCGTTCTACTCATTGAACCCATTCACGAAATATTTCCCTGGAAGTCCTGGGCATGGATGCCTTCCAAGATTGGGCTCATTCGGACTCGCAGTTTAGCATGTTTCATATGCTAATGCGTTGATCATCTCAATCCAGTATAAGTCAATCCAGTATAAGTCAATCAAGTATTTGTCCTCTTATTGATCCTCATGTACATTTGTATAAATAACGTATGTTCTACCATCATGCACCATTGATCTTTGCCCTATCATTAAGTTCCACGTGTATAATTTTCATGTTCGTTTAGGATTAAGATTTCTTTTTACATATTTTGTAGGCTTCTGATTATTTCTCTCCTTTATTTTTCAAACCACTTGCATTCAGGCCAGTGAACAACTTTTCCACTAAATATTATTACTCAAAGCCTGGCAAATTGGCCATTTTTTTTCTGCTGACCAAGATCTTGAGTCATCAAATTTACTTCAGTCTAGAACATACCATCATTCTTGGGGCACACCATTTTCTGGCATGAGCCAAGTGATGAATTGTGTGCCCGCATGCTGTTTTATAAAGTATTTTTCTTTTCTCTTTCAAACGTGACCGGCCAATGTAATAGGGGAGCCAATAGATTTTGGTATTTTCTTCGATGTACACCCTAAACTTCAATTATTTTTATCCTTCCTAAAATTGCTGCTTTTTATCAATGCACCACATCAAGTGAATCTCCCCTCTGATAATTCAGTCATCCCTTCCCCCAGAGGGGGAAAATTTTTTTTCAAATTCACCTAAGGCATGAAAAAAAAGCAAATGTCTGTATTTCTGTTTTGTCTAATGTACAAAACTATTCCCAGTTTTCATGCGGGAATACCTCAATTATCTGACTTGACATGACATAAAAAAATCTCCACAGCACCTATTACGTAGTCATGTAATTTTACATCTAGGCAGTGTATAACATCATACACTTCTTTTTTCAAGCTTACCTAGGAACGTATCAGTTGTACCATGTCAATTTATGGAATTTCACTACCTCTTTGATAGCTTTGTCTCTAGCTGTTTACTCATTTACTCGTGTAAGATTTTTTTTTTTCAACTAATGTTAAAACTGCCTGTTAGTTTCATGTTCTGCAAGAATATCATCATCCTACCTTTGTTACTGTTTGTAAAAATAAAATTAGGTTATATTCAGGAAAAATGATGAAAGAGAAGGATCCTAATTATCTTTTTCTCTTTCTTCAGGTGCTCTTGGTTTGCTAGTTTTTTTCTTCGCCTCTCTATATATTATTCAGTTAAATGTGACAATTCTTGTGAACTTGAATTAAGTTCACAACCCACTCAGGACTATATTCAGTAATGAAAAATTCAGAAAAACTCAGGGATATTTTTTGAAATCACTCATTTTTTTCTTTCAAAGAATTACATTTTTGAAAACCTCCACTGTCAATTTCATCATGTCGTTTTTGTATCTGCTGATCAATATCTTGCTATTAAACAGTATTATACCAGAGCTGCCCTTCACATTCCTATGTTCTTCCACTCTATTTCCTGATTTTAACTAATGCTACTAATTGAGGCTTTTTTTGTGATGAGGTCCTCAGCTGCTTACACCTTTTTGCCAGAAACATTAATTTGAAAATTGAGGATTCTAGTTTTCCATATATAGTTCTCTAAATATTAAAGGCACAGTAATGGTCAAAATCATATCCTTAAAATTCTCAGCCAGAGAACATACTAAAATTTCAAACTTGTTTCTATGAATCTCAAGTTCTTTGCTTCATTTTCCCTCACCTAAAGCCTCAATTTACTCGTGTAAATGTCTGCCTAGAAGGCTGAGTCAAACAATCAAAGTGCTTTGGGATTAAATGTACGGGGAAAAGTTGACTCGTCTCTGTGTATTAGTAGATGTCCGTTGCCGGCGAATTGTTAATTTTTTGCATGGTATTTTGATTGTAAGATTTGACTCGGAGACAAATAAATCTCCACTGCAAAGTAAAAAGTAACCACCTCAAGATAATTAGGTTTCCTTGAGCCGTATAGCCATTTTTATCACCTTATATATTTGGGTTGTTTCCCAAAATATTTACCTAGACCTCAGTTTTAAACTTGAATCATTTTTTTGGTCAAAAATGGCAAAAAATTGTGGAGCTCCCACCGTTTATTTAACAGTTTTAAAATAGGATCTTCCCGCCGGAAATTTCCATTCATTAATAGTTGTCGAAGTTTTAAATATTTTTAAGAATCCAAATGTTGCCTTTTTCCTCTTCAGAGATTAATTTTTTTTTTAATTTATTTATTGATTTTTATTGAAAGTAAATTCATGGAACTTTCGAAAGCTTGCCTTTGAAAACTATTCAACAAGAGTCTAGACTTGCCTTGGTTTCTGGTCTCTGCATTAAAAAGAAATCAATTCCTTTTCAATCCCTTAAAATTTCGTAAATTTTCTAGGTACTTTTGTGATTTTTTTATTTTTTTTATTTTTCCTTCCTTCTCTTAAGTATTAATTTTAGCTTTGTCCGGTGATAATTGTGAAGCTAGGAAAGTTAATTAATATCTGCTCAAACACAAATTTAAATATTATATCATGGAACATTATTGATAAACTTTAGTTAACACTTCATTGAATTTAAATGTGCTTTCGTTTTACCCAACTTTGATTAATTTATTGACAATGATAATATCCCTCTTCCCCTGTAAGTTCATTGATTATTGAGAACATTGTCAATGCCAGTCTGTATTTTCTATACTTATCATTATTTATTTATCTTTACTAATAGTTTAATTTGAATTTAATTTTAGTTTATTTATTATTTTACTCTTTAATTATCTGTGGTGACAATTTATGCAAACATGCTACATACTTATAAATATATCATGTAATAAACTTGTTATAATTACTTGATTAGCAGCGTGTCTCCGATTTTTTCTCCTTCTCCTTTTTCAAAGTAAATAATAATGAGAGAAGTC